ACTTTCTTACATCTGGCATTGCTTATCTCCCAGTTTTATTTGCATTTGCATGGAAATTGAAAAGAGGACAAGCGGTCAATATGAAAAGTGAGAAACAAAACCCGTTCATAGTCTCACATCACATGTTTAGTAAATTTTTTATATTAATGTCACTTTATTATCAAGTTATTTATTTTCACTGTTAGAATATAGAGTTCAAGATTTAAGATTTAAGAATTTAAATTTTAAGTTAATAGTATGAGATTGGACATGTAATGTAAACTTATAAAAAAGATAACAATTGAGACACCAAGTGGGGGCAAAGAGTTTTATTTGATCCATCAGGATTAGATTATTTGATCCCAATAGGCTCTTATTATTAAAGTGTCACAGTCATGCTGCTCCCCAATGATCTACAAGACAAAAGAAACCTGTTAATGTCATAGGGTTATGAAGTAGAGATTTTAAGCAATATAATTGGACCGGCATTAGACCCTCGAAAGCGATCTAGTCATACAGCCAATATGCTTTCCTTTCAGTACAGCTTGGCAGCCGGTCATCCCCATATTGATCCCTTGAAAGTCTTGTACAAAATTAAAACCAACGTTTTATTCATATGGTAAACCAAATCAAACAACAATCTAAACTATATAAAAATGGTGTTTACTCCTTCGGATGCCAGATTTCCCTCCAGGAAGCACGGGTGTTAACACTCTTCAGAGTAGAAAACAATATCTCCAGGGCTTTGATGACATAATTCCTGACTTCATTTCCATGTTAATTTTGGATTTGGAAAATATACTATACAGCCGGAGTAGTAGGTTTCCGTCGTAAGTAAGCAAATAGATTATAAAGGAATAGCTCAATCTCAGCGACATGGGGTTGATAATAATCTTGGCTAATTAATTAATATTAGCAAATTAAGCAAAACTGTAGTTTTAATAATGGGTGGTTTCAAAAGTGGAAGCCTGTCATTTTCATTAAAAGGGTTTTTGACAAGAACGATGATACACCTAAACTTTATAAGCTTGTTTTTTCTATAAATGAAAGATTTTAGTAGGGAAGATCATGATGGTTTAACTCAAAGATAAGATCCTATATGAATCATAATAAAGCCATTCAATGAAAAGTTAAAAGGAAGTATATCACTAACAATATAGGGACAAACATTTTTGATTAAATGTCATAGTCTGTTCCCCATTTGATAAAAAAAGTATCATAGATTTTAACAATCAGAGTCTGGATGTATACTGTGGTAACGGCTTTGGCTTTATGGTTGAAACTTTGAATCAAGGGCGGTTAGTGATCATATGTATATCTATGAAGTAATAACCATTTTAGTTCGTTCAAAAAGCTTGTGAAAGGCACGTATGCATTACACGAGAAGATTCCAATTAAAAATCTTGTGCCTACTTGAAAGTAAATCCTGACCGAACGCTGGTTTACTGGCTATAAAATGCTATGAGCTTTTTTTGATTTTCGAAAGATACATGACATGAGGCACGAAGGGTTCTGTCCCAAAGCTAAAATTGATCACATGCATGGAAGCTTGAGGACTTGGTGGTTGATTTCATGAACCAAAACTAGATCTATGGGTTTTGTTTTTTTGACTGATGAGATCAGCTTGAGAGATATCTTTTGCAGTATAAATGAAGGCGAACGTTAACTTTAGTGATGATTAAAAGTGAGCCACTCGTTAGGTTTATATATATGAGCCTTTCATTTTCAAAAGTGTTAACCCATCCTTTCTTTTTATTTTCTTTCTCACTGTAAGATTTTATTAGCATATAGGACGGTGATGGTGGTTTAGGGCATTTTAGTTGATTCTTAATGTTCAATAATTAATTGAAAAAAAACAAATCATGTATTTGTGATGTAAAAGATATATATACGTTCTTATCAAACAAATGAAAAAAAAAACTTTCACGACATTTGATGAATGATGTACATTGAAAAGGATATAATCGATAATTATTTTTTTCTTCCTTATTTAATTTGAAATTGAATTATACTCTCTTTTTCTTTATATTGCAACTTAATAGGTTAAAAAATAATAATAATAAAAAGGAAGAATAACCCTATGTTTCAATTGAGATATATTTGCGAAAGATGATCATTAATGGTATTCCTCATCGACATTTTCCGTTCAAAGTTCATCATACAAAACGCAAAAAGATCATTCTTGTGAGAGAATCATTTGCTCTGTGTAGTTTCTTTGATCTTTGTGGTGAATTTTTTGTTCATTATCTCTGGTTATTTTACTCTCTGTTCTGTTTGTCACTGGATTATTTGTGCTTGTTGCTGCTGGGTTATCTTTCATTCACTTTAGGTGTTGGCGCATTGAAGAACTTTTTCTGATGGAGCAGGCTTTCAGGTTATGACAATGGGGAATTGTTTTGGTTGCATGGGACACAAGATTTTCATTTACACAATGTACTGGCTGGGCTTTTTATTTATGTGAATGAATTGTCATGCTGTACAGGGGTGGTATTGTGCTTTCGTTCGGCTGGATCCTCTTCTGGTTTATCTGAGGTTTACCAAACCTCTTGTGCTTGTAGGATGGCTGTATATTTTGTTTTTTGGGTTCACAGAGTGGTCTAGCTGCTGCAGATTGTGTTTTAGGCATCTGCAGACTCTTCTTTTGGTGGTTGGAAGTTTATTGTCCTCCTCTTGGATGTACCTTTTGCATAGCTAATGAAATGGTTCAACTGTGACTTTCACAAAAAAATACACCTTTGAATTGCAATTCCAAAACAAAGCCAGTGCCTTGAGTCCGGCCCAATTGTAATTACGAGATACTATAAGTTACAACCTAGCTCATTTAATTTCTCAACCTGACCCAAAAATAGGATGATGTTGACCCAAAAATTGATGTGTCAAGTACCGAAAAGGCAAACAAGAGAGTAATTCAAAACCTTACTGGTACTATCTGATCCACCCACCAAGAGCGCGTTAACAAGAACAGGAAAAGACGAGCAGCTTTCCATCAATGGAAGCTCTATGCTTCCTCATATGACCACCCAAAGCTTGTCCAAGTAAAAAACTGTTTACCACACACAGGTGCAGTCATACATCTTAGGCTTGTTGGCTAAACTTAGAAGCTTACAATCCCTTACTTTCTCCCTTATCAATCTCGGTTTGGCTTGCTCGGTGCCCTCCAAGAGCTTGGTACGAGGAGAAATGGCGATGACAACATTTTACACTCGAAATCATTAGCTGTTAGCATTAGGCATTTTTCCATTCCAGAACTTTGCACCTCTCCCCATTTTCTCTTATTCTTTTCATAGCAACCAAAAGAAATCCTGTGTAAATATAAGTTAAGGATCTCTACTTATGAACTTGGGCTTCTTGATTTTAATTTAAAAAAAGAAAATATAACTATGTTAAATTTTAAAGATAAAAATTTAATATAAAATCAATTGATAATAATTGAAAATACTTAAATTATTTAAAATTTTTTAATTTAACTGATGTGAGATTACGGGTTTTTAATTTTTCAAACATTCTTACATTCTAATGTCTTTCTTTGTAAATTAATTTCTTTTTCTTGAATCTCGGCGGACAATGTTGGACCATGATGTAAACAGTGACAGCATAGCCGGACGGGGCTCGAGCAGTGAGCGACGGCTATAGAGTGCAGTGACCATCGCTGAAGCTTCTGATAATGTTTTGTTCGAGAAAATTTGAAGGAAAAAAAACCATGATCAGTGGAAGAAAAGGAGAAAACCCACTAACGTGGTTCAGGTCCTAATTCCATTGCCAACATATTTTTGTACGACTACCATCTTCCTTTGGCGGCTCTCCAATAAAAATACAGTAACCTTTTGGAAGAAACCTCCATATACCTTCCACGGATGCACGAGGGGGATGGTTTTCTTTTAGGGCAGAAAATATATATTCATTTCCAAAGGCCGCCATAGATGATCAGATTCCTTACATCAGTTCATCTAATTTTCGTTTTTCAAATAATTATTTATCAATCATTGCTTCAGTGACAATTTGTTAGATACTTAGAGATTACAAAGGCAGATGTACTTTTCTTTTTCTTTGAAAATTACAGAGACATATACTTAAGCTTAACCATAGTCAATATTGTAGCTGATGGTAGAATTAATTCTAATGCCATTGATTCCAAAAGTGGAACCAGTCAGTTTAGTTCAATGCCCCAATTTTGACAATAGAAATCATTTTTCTTTTTTTTGGATAAGCATATGAAATAGTTTATACCACGACAAAAAATTGTTCAATCTTTACACCAAAGCAAACAACACCAAGTCCCCATCCATCATGACAAGCCCACGCAATACCAATCTTGTCTTTGATATGCACTTTTATTTGTATAAAGAGGAATCATTAAAGCTTTGATCTTTAATTTGTTCAAAAGTTGATGTTTCATGCATTGTTTAAACTGAAGCCAAGTCATCCTAGTACGCCTTCTAATGAAAAGTTTATTAGTAGTAAATTTTTAATGAAACTAAAGCACACTAATGTCATTGATAGATCTAAACAAAGAATATCTAGTTATATATGATATGATACATGCATGGTAATTTTTTTTTTCTAATTAGTCAAAGTAGTTGACATGAAGATAAATTGACAACTACATATATGGCTTCAACGAAAGAGGTTTAAAATTTATATATTTACTTTTCAAAATTAGGGTTTTTTTTTTTCGTAAGTTTAAGTAAAATTATTTGATTACCAATTATTTTCATCAATATACATAAAATAATTAATTTTCTATATGAATTGCCTTGGGTTTTTTCTTTGTTTTAAGAATATATACAGCTTAGTTGAGGGGATCAAAATTTCAATATGATCACAAGGTACAAAGAAGATATATATATATATATATATATATATATGTCAAGAAAAGGAAGTGCAAATTGAATGTAGAATCATAGGAAAAATTGAATCAATCAAACATCATTAGGAATTTCAATCAATAGAACAGCAAAGAAAAGAATCATCCTAATTTACATTTGCATGAAATAAACCAAAAGACAAATTTGGGATCATGATCAAAGACCAAGATTATCAATTTTAGTAGCCATTTTCCCAAACAATGCTTTCAGATCATTCTCCAAAGGAGTCAAATTCAAGTCCAAGTACATAATTCTTTTACTATTCGATCTGCTTAACACCGGAAAGTTTGGAGCGACGACAGGAAAAGGAGAGAAGCTTTCGTAAATGGAAGCTCTATGCTTCCTCATATGGCCTCCCAAAGCTTGCCCCAAGTCGAACTTTTTACCACATATGGCGCACTCATGCATCTTAGGCTTAGTAATTGCTAAACTTAGAAATTTGGAGCCGTTTGCTTTCTGACTCTCCCCCATCAATCTGGGTCTCTTATGGCTCGCCCTGTGGCCTCCGAGTGCTTGGAACGATGGGAACCGGCGATGACAAGTTTTACACTCAAAAACGTCCTCCATCGAATGGTCTAACTTCGGCTTCGTTTCTAGGCCATGATCCTGCAGCATTAGACAATTTGCCACACTCTCTTCGTTTTCTCTACCTCTCTTCATATCAACCAAAGTAAGTCTAATTTTTCTCGAGAAAGAATTGTTTTGGTTTAGAGGCAAAGCTGGAGAAGATGAATTTTTCTCTACCTTGGAGCTTGTATTTATTCTTTGTAGATAAGGAACCCTGTCAATGAATTTTGACTGATTATTTGACTAGATTATATGATATTTAAATTTGTTCATATTGAAAGGAATTGATGAATAATGAATCAAACAGTGCTCCATCTTTAGCAGCCAGAAATGGACGTAAGCAGTGAGCAATGTCTAGGCTAATGAACAAGTCACAAGTGGCGAGCTATGGCTATGACCCATCTCTGAAACTTCAGATATATATATATATAGTTTGAGAGAATCTATGGAGCCCTGGACCCCAAAAAGGGCATAATCAGTCAAAATAGTGGCTCATAAACAAAGCTAGAAACATTGGATAGATCCGAACTTCCTTAATTTATACATTAATATTTATGTAATATCTTATAGAATTGTCACTTTTGTGTGCTTCACATATTATAAAACCTCGTACACATGAGACAAACGGCGTTGAGTGTCAGAGAAGGAGGCCAGCAGTCAATGAGAGGAAATGCTCGAAGAAAGCTACATCACCATGTCCTCCATCGTCAAACCAGGTGGGATGTTTCAGGGCGGAAATTAAGATTAATATATTGTTCTGGGCTCTAGTTGGATGACCTAATTTCTTACTTCATCACTTCATCAGCTAATTATTTTGATTAATATAATTATATTGTTTAGAGTAAAGATGAAGCCACTATAACGCAAGACAATTAGTTTGTTGTTATTGTATTATTTTGTTGCTTTTTGTGCGTGATCATGCTTGAGACCAAAACTCTTTTATTGTATGTGTTTAATGATTTTAAGTTTTCATATTATTAATTAATGAAGTAGTTAAATTTTTTAAAGCGCATGGTTAAAATAATTAAAATATAAATTATGTATAAAGAAAATAAACATCACTTTTGGGGTGATATAAGATTAAATAAATAGTTATCAGACTCACACCGACTCGAAGATTGGACTGATCAATCCAATGACCTAACCCTTGATTCGGATCAATTTTTTAATTGGTTATCTGTGTAATTAATTAGAAAAAAAATCCACATTTTAAAATCATACCTAACTTAATTTTTGCATACTAATTATTAATTCTTCCATCATTTTTGCTAACAAAATTAATTTTCTAATTTTTATATCATAATTTTTCATATAAACAAGTATGCAAAAATATTTTTATAAGTTATAATTTTATTTATAAAATTAAAAAATAATCAATCAAAATGATTCATCGGTGAACTCTTGATTCTGAAACTCGAAACTTTGCACGAGTCATTATCCTAGTCTAATACTGATAACTATGATTTGAATTGACCTCTCATATGTATTAATTCATATTAATGATAGACCTAGATTGTTAATTAACAAAATTACTTATAATGGCAAAGGTAATTACTTTGGCTGTCATGGGTTTTGAAAACTATTGTTACTAATAGCAGAAATGTAATATCAGCTAATTGTAGTTTTGACAGGATATTCAAACACGGGGAAGCCGTCATTTTCAATAGCCTTCATTACCTTTGTTGGTAGCAAATTTTAAATGGGAAGGCTGGTCAAAATATTTGACCATTGAACTCAAGGCAAGTCCTATTATAGGCCATTGAATTATAAGCTGATTAGTAGTGCATGTTACCACAATTACTGTCAAATATATTATTACGGGTTTATATACAATGATATACTGTTAATATATAATATTTACATTATTACTTAATCATAGTTTATTATAAATGTGCAAAACTAAAAGTTTAAAGGTATAACGTTTTTAAAAAAATATTGGGTTATTTAAAAAAATTTAAATAAATCTTTATTTATGTAATTTTATTTTAGACTAAATAGATTTTATGATTAATATTTAATTAAATATAATTAATTAAAATATCATTTATTAATTTTTATACGCACATAACTATGTCACTACATTACATCGACATGTCGTATCATTATTTTTTATAATATATCAATATATTACGTCAATATCACATAATATAAAAAATTATAAAAAGTATTTTAATTAATAATAATTAATCAAAAGTTAATAATAAATATTTAATTAATTTAAAATAAAAATATAAATACTTAATTAAATATAATAAAAAAATAAAAATTTATATAAAATTTTTAAAATAATTCAAAATATTTTTTTAGATACTATATCAAGTTTCAAAATCTTTCAATTTTTTTTTTTGATAAAGGATAATTTCATTTCATCATGAAATACCAGAATATTACAATATGAGAAAATCTTTCAAATTTATTTGACGTATTGTTGATGTATAATATATCTAGACACAATTTATGTCTCAAGAGGCTAGAAAAATTATCATAATGGGAAAATATTTTGAGATGATGGAATTAATATTATTAGGAATATCTATCAGAACTACAACAAATTAACTGATAATGAAGCCAAAGATAAAGATAAAACAAATTAAAGTGTACAAATTAATAAAGATAAAAAAAATAAAAGAAGAATTGAAGATTTGAGATGTTGTACATAAAACAAATGAAAAAAATGTTGTTAATGAAATAAAAGTTACAAGAGTCATATGGGAAAACAATGGGGATTATGGATCAGATGCAGAGATCAACCTTGGGAGCCCTGGTCCCAAACAACACTTGCAAATCGTTCTCCAATGGGGTCAAGTTCAAGTCCAAGCACGCAATCCGCTTACTACTATTCGATCTCTTCAACACCGGCACGGTTGAAACGACCGGAAACGGGGAGAAGCTGCTTTCGTTCATGGCGGCTCTATGCCTCCTCATATGGCCACCCAAAGCTTGCCCCATGGAGAACTCCTGGCCGCAAATGGAGCATTCGTGAGTCTTGGGCTTGGTCGATAAACTTAAGAACTGTGTTTGTTCACTTGCTTTCTCTCCCATCAATTTGGGTCTCTTGTGGCTGGCCCGGTGGCCTCCCAAAGCTTGGAAAGATGAGAAACGACGGTGGCAAGTCTTGCACTCGAAAACCTCGCTCAGGGAATGGTCTTTCGGCTTGGTTTCTACCAGGCCTTGAGACAGCAGCATTAGACATCTGGCAATGTCAAAACCCTGAATCTCTCCGTGTTCTCTTTCTCTCTTCATCACTAGCTAAATCTGAATAAGAATACTTGGGTTTTTCTTTGTATTGCTAAAAGAAGAAAGCCTGAGGCTGCAGGGGTGATGAGAAACATGGGAGCCGGTGTTTCAGCTTTATATAAACAAAGGAAAACTCTCAACTCATGAGGCTGTGAAGATTGACTGCAAATTTGACTATTCTAAATGGCAGAAGTACCCACTTGTCTGCCGAGTCTAACAGCCCCTACCATGAGCTTTTGTTGTAGAGAAATGGAAAAACCCGTTTACTGCTCCTTGGGCCTGTTGTAATTATGAATATACCCTCCAAATGGGTCAAACATAAAGAAATGTAAAGCAAGCCAAGCAGGGTCCCGGCTGTAGTGAGAGGCAGTTTCCTTCAATAATCACGTTGGTGTTTTACTCGAGACAAGGTCACGAGTGGCGAGCTATGGCTGTAACGGTATCTCTCACTGAAGCTTCCGATAACTTTTGTTTTTATGAGATCATATAAAAAGGAGAATATATAAAAGTATAGGTTTATATTTAATGTAATGTCAATGTATTTATCACTTAATTAAAATTAAAAATCTTCAAAATTAAACAGTCAATTGTTGCCAATTTCTCTCACCCAATTAATTAACGTTATCATTGTATTAACTTTTTTATTTGTAAAAGAAAAGTTTATTTTATTTAAATTTATTTAAATTTTAATATTTCTTATGAGGAGTGAAAATTTTAAATAAATTCTATATTCCTTGTCACCTATAATATTTTCAATTCAAAACACATATACATTAAGTTAAAAAAATAATTTTATTGATACACTTAAAACACTCATAACTTCTCTTATTAATTTAAAATTCGTAACATAAAAATTATTAATTTTATTAATTGTCTTTTCATTGATTTTACAAAATCCAAAATGTTAAATTCTAATTTAAATAAAATAATGGGTTGAAATTGAATTCTAAGACTAAAAATTTAACAAATATTAAATAGTAAAAAAATATTTAACCCTTTGTTTTTTTTCAACTTAATTGTAAATTTTCAGTGGTTCACATGTCCTACTCGTCTGCTTCTCATTTGGCTGACGAAACAGAGTCTGGATAACTGGATATTCTTAATATAACTTAGAAGAAGTAAAACACAAACCCCAGACTGGCCAAAGAAAGCTGCTTGGTCAAACCTAAGAAATCTTCTCACTGCTTGATAATTTCAATGGTCAAACCCCTGTTTATACTGTTGCTGTGTCATGGGTAAATAGTAGATAAACCCACATGAGTGGAAATTGTCAAAGATTTTTGCAAGTTTCAAGCAATAGGGGCCGCAGACATTGATTTGCTCCCTCCCTGTGGTTTGCTTTCTTGTAAATCTTGTTTTCCTTAATGACCCTGTGGCACTTTGTAATTAAGCCATAGCCAAAATGAATTATTATACTTCAGTCAGTGCAGTGTGAATGAGAATTTTTCCCATTACAGGGTGTTAAAAAAGTTAGTCAATTTTGCTTTGTATTGGTTGAGGCAGGTAAGGGACAGCCTCCAAACCATATTTGACTTTGCTAAAACTTTGTTCAAAAGTTCCAGCATTTCCTTGTTCCACATCTTGGGTTTGATTATCTGAGATAAGGATGGAAGTAAAAGAGGAAAAAGGGAAGAGAAAAACATGGAGAGAGAGAGAAGCAAGGAATGAAGTTCCAGAAGGAAGTAAGCATATGATGTAAGATAAGATGTAAGAATTTAATTGATGCCATGACGACTTAGTAAAACAGCATGAAAGTTAAAATTTCTTAACATGGGATCAGCATTGAAAGGACAAATTATGTGTCTACTTCAGATTCGGTCCTAAAGTACTCATCAGCTGATGAGGGTTTCTACTACATACGTTTGGTTTCTACACACACCCACCATGGACCTTTTTGTCCTAATCATAAATCAATTGACATCAGCAAAAGGAGTTCTGTTTGGTGAGAATGCCTCACGTGCAATCTGTTGATGGGTTTTGCTATCACTGTTGCCCCATTTAGATCTCTTCTCTGAGTTATTTTCTTCTTCCTTGAGGTTTTCCCAGGAAGGTGTCCTCATCTCTTCTATTGATGCTAAGCTGGGCACAACTATGTCTCGCTTCTTTGGTGTTGAATTAGTATGGTGATCAACCTGTTCAAGGCAGCAACACAAATGATATATTCATTATTCTTAGATCAAATGTTCTGAATTTTTATATGCTAAAATCTAGACAAGGAATATGAACATTTTCAGCAAGCAAAACCTACCAAGTAATCCTTTACGAGGCATTTCTCAGCTTCGCTTCTGATATTCGATATGCTTTCACCATGCTTTTCTTGCACTGTTTTGAGATGGTCTAAGCACAAGTTTGTAAGGGAGTCTATTTCCTTCTTACTTTGATGGTCACGACGTAATGAATCTGCCAATGGGCAATATATCCCCACTTAGAATGAGAAAAGAACCCAATTCTGAAATGAAGAATCTATGCTTAATGTAGAAGTAAATTACCATTAATTGCTGCCATTATATCTCCAGTTCTTGCACCAAACTCTGCATCCATAAAGGAGAATGCGGATAATAGCTCTTCATGTACTGTGTGATTTATTCTGATATTTTCTCTGTCAATATAATAAGCAGATGTTTTACCAATAATAGACCTCTGAAGTTGAAAACAAGAAGGACTTCAAGAACCAAGGAACATGAAAAACTTACTTTACAGTTGATTTGATCTCTGCAAGACTGCTTATATTAAGTTCATTTATGTATGACTCGGCATTTTCCCACTGCTGCCTAGAATCATTCAACCTTTTCGAACTGTGCATTAAATGAAAGAAACAATTATATTTAGTAACTTTGCTATTAGAATCGACTATTTAGATAATTAAATTATTTAAATACCACCACGAGATTATGTATGCATATCATAAAGTAATCAATAAAATTATTTACTTTTTGAACAAACAGAACTCTTTTTAATTTGCAAATTGGATGATTATGTATGCATATCATAAAGTAATCAAATGAAAGCTTACCATTCTTTAAGGCCATCTTCCATTATACCCCTAGACTCAGCCACCGAGAAGGTGTCTTCCATGAAATGGCTTTCCATCTTTTCCATATACTTACTCATTTCCTTCCCAGCATCAGCTGTAACCTGTTGCAGCACAGATATCTGTTGCTGCAATATCCTATTATCTTGAATGTCTGTGTCCTTCATGTTTCTTGATGCCTCTTCGACCTAAAAAATAATTTCTATAAGCATAAAATTCTTTAAAAGGTATTTGGGCCTTGCAAGAGAAAGACGTGAAGATTACTAACCATAGCAGTTCTATTAGATGTCAAAGTTGCTAATATTGCTGCAATCTTTTCCAAAGCCTGTTTTTCCTCTCTAGCAGCCTCTTCCTGTTTCACAGCAGTGTAAGTTCATTATTAGCCTTCATTTGTTCACAATATCAATCATGCATGTAGAATTTGAACTTGCCTTAAATCTGTTTCCAAAATTTGTTAATTGCTGGGATTTCTTGGTTTGGGCTTCTTCAAGAGTTGTCATGAGTTTGGAAGCCTGATTAGTGATGTCAGTCATAAAATCAACCGTTGCCTTGGATATTTCTTGTGCTGAAATCAAGTTGCGGTGTAATCCCTGTCATTATCCACCAAGATGAGAATTACTTGTTCAAGTAGAGTGAATAGCATGAACACAAGGAAATGAAGAATAACAAATACACCCACCTCTTCTTGTTGTCGAGCAGAGAAAAGCAATAGCTCCTTCTGCTCATTAAGAGCATTCTGGAGATCCTCAATAACCTCCTTGGCTTCCAGCACTGCAGTGTCAAGGAACTACAAAGACAAAATTAACAGACCAATCAGCAAACCTCACACGCTTTCATAAGCAACTTGAAGTAAAGTAATTATCTTCCTTGTAGAGCATACCTGCTCAGTAACTGCTATTTGAGATGAAAATGTAGAACTCATTTGCTCCTGGTCAGAGGAAGCTTTCCTTTGCATAGTGTTGGCAAGCTCCTTCATTGCTTCCACTCCTGAAGCATGTGTCTCTGTCATATTCTTAATCTTAGATTCCAAGGCTTGAGTTGCCTGCCAATAATACATAAATCATGAATCAGGATTAAAGTAGCCACGTGCATAAATTAAGATAGGGCACCATTTTTTGACTCTTACATCACATTTACTGGCAAGAAATGACTGAGCCTGCTCTTCCATGGATCTAAGTTGTTGATGCTGTTGAGAAATAGACCCAAGAATGGTCTTATGCAAATCTTTTAGATGCTGGTCTAGCTGAGAACCAAATGTTAAAACAATGCTTCTGTTTTCTGCCTCCATCTTGTCCTTATTTTCTGTGCAGAATAAAAGATTTATATTAAGATCTCTGAAATGACTGTGCATAGATTCATAAACACACCTTTTCTTTTGAATAACGAAACAACCGGTGTTGTTTCAGCCTTTCAGGTCTCATTTCAAGGGATATATTTTTACATAAGTTGTTACAGTTTGATCCATCCATGCAAGAGGGGCAGTTCACTTCTTTGTGCATTCATGGAGCAGTCCACACCATTGGGCCAACTGCACAAGTTGGAGCCAACTATGAAATGGTGTGCATGAGTGTCTGGCAGATGCAACAACCTATTACATCTCCCTAGAAATGTTTGTTTGAAAAGCAACAAGGTCCTTTCAGGTTCTGATGGATCAAATATTTGTTTGGAAAGCAACAAGGTCCTTAGCAATACTCTTATACAACTGGTGTTGTTTCAGCCTTTCAGGTCTCATTTCATGGGATATATCTTTACATAAGTTGTTACAATTTGACCCATCAGACCTTTAATGTAAGAGCGTTGGTTCACTTCTCTGTGCACTCATGGAGCTGTCCACACCATTGGGCTAACTGCACAAGTTGGAGCCAACTATGAAACATGGTGTTCACGAGTGTCTGGCAGATGCAACATCCTATTACATCTCCTTAGAAATATTTGTTTAGGATAAAAACATCCTATTACATCCTATTAAAAGGTCCTTTATAAGAACAAGGGATTGTTGCAAATGGGAATCAAATAGCTTTCAATGTGAACCATTAGGATAAACTGATGTGTAACCACCGAAGTTATGAACTCATACCTAGTTTTGCAAAAAGTGAATTTATGTCCTCTGATGCATGTCGCAAATCAGTACGTAGCTCCTTTGCCCGTTCAATCAAAGAATTTTCTGTTTATGAAACAATTGTCATTGTTACTGATAAGCAAAAAGGTGGACTATGAGAAATTTCCAACACCAACCCTTTTACCAGAGCATAGAAATTTAGAGATGACAAACTCCTTTTCTTTCAGCGTCAAGATGGCTGCCCTGTGGTTCTCTTGAAGATCAAGCAATTCTTTCCTACTCTTTTCGAGATTTATCTGGACAACAAATATAATTTATGATCAGACAATTTCCCAGAATTGAGAGTTCAAATATGAATATTTCCAGTCTGTGCTTACCTTGCAATCCTTGAGGTCACTTTCTAAGTCCAACCTTTGCTCTTGCTCAGTAATATACAGCCCACGGAACTTATCAGCTTGCTGCATGAAGTACAAGAAAAAAATTAAGTATGACATGGCAAGAAATGAGTGAACATACAACATATGAAAAAGTTATACCTTCTCACTAAGGTTGAGATCATTCTCCAGTTGCTCTATCTTCTCCATCCTTGCCTGCAGGGTAAAATAAGTTAAAGTGCAAATCAATCAGCCTTGAGCCTACATATGGAGTGAAGAAATTTTTGACTCTAGCCTACATAAGATAAGTCAAATTTTTTTTTTTTTTTTGAATTGGCATACATGACCTACATTAGAGTGTACCAAAATCATAGCTAAATCTAACTCTCCATCTAAGCTGGGCCACAATAAAAAGTGCATCAGAACGAAACATAAAAGTTTACCTTCTTTTCAGCTTCCTCTTGGGCAAATCTTTCATGGGGAATGTAAATGCCATTTTTGTCCCTAGCTGCTCGAACATCTGGATCAATTGTTTTTACACGAATAAGAATCTAAATTTGTATTTCTTTCTCAATGTAGGACTCTGAGATTGCAAGTGCTTATCAAACCTTCTTTCATTCTCTCAATTTCCAGGTACAAATCCTTAAGCAACACAGCCTTGGACATTTTCTGGTTTGCCTGGAATTGCAAGGTCTCTAATTAGTTGAACAATATGAATAAAAAAATAAATAGATCAAAAGAGGCATTCAAATCAACCTCTGGTTTGTTTTTGATATTCTTAGCACGATAGGCGTAATCTAGAGTGCTCAATGTTTCTTCTAGGGAATGAGCAGATGGAGATATTGTGGCAATGATGCAGGTCTTTGTTTTCCCTCCCAAAGAATCTCTCAAGAGCCTTGTCAGCTTACTATCCCTGCAAAGAATGTTGGTAACCATGAGAAAACAGTTCTTAGAAGAAATTTAGAAGCAGATCAATAAACAAAAACAGAGTTTAAGGAAGCCTAACCTATATGGTATATGAGCAGAATGCTCCACAAGTGCATTTATGACACGGCCAAGGGTAAGTAAGCTCTTGTTTATCTCTCCTGCTTCCCTTGCACGGCCCTGCCAATCCAGTGTAGATTTGATCAAAGATGTCACACTTCTTGAACCTTTGCAGCTTAATAAATATTGATTTCCAACCACATCAGAAACACAACACATTACATGGACTATATTCAATAATAAAGGAAGTGATTACCAAATAAGAGACTTTAATGCCAAATATATATATATATATATATATATATACATCCATACCTCTCGTGCACCAGAACGAGAAATATTCTCAGATCCTGCCAAATCAACAAGATTAAGCTTGCCACATTTTATCAGTTCCTCATCTCCGACAGCAGATTCTTTTATGTGGACAGTGATAGAAAATACAGAATGAGAACGGCTGCAAGGCAAAGAAAATGACTTTAGACAAAGGTTCGATTCCTCCTACACCAAGTATCATTAACAAATCAAACTAATACAGGAATCCAACCTGCTGCGCTTGTTTAACAAGGTATCAGCAGTGCGCCTTTTTGCTGCTCCTCGTTCCAAGAGAGTATAGATTTCATTGGCACTGTATACAGCTTCTTCTTCTAGACCTCTCACAACAACACAACCCTTCCCATCTTCCATCAAAGAAATTGGTTTCCTTTGCTTATCTTCAGCATATCTTGAATTCTCTTCAGGAGCCAGCAAATCAGTTATTTCCTCATTGTACAGCTCCAAAAATGTAACTTTCATGCTGTAATCAGCATTTTGAGCCTCTAAGGTATCAAATATTTGTCGCACTGCTCTTGGAATAACACCAGCCTCAGCAGGCAAGTCCCCACCCTGTACTTAAAACCCACTCCTTCAATTAATATTCATCAAAGAGCTTGTATTTAACAAATTCTCAATGCATAATTCTATACACCGCCAACTGATCACAACTTGTGCCACTAAACAAAATTAGCATATACTACTAAAAGTATGAATTCATAAACAAAAAATTGTGCATCAAATATAAATTTTTAAATCAGAATTTGATTTGATTACAATCCTATTACCTTATTTCTCATCCCACCCTCCATTGTATAGGTTTTGCCAGTGCCAGTCTGTCCATAGGCAAAGACAGTACAGTTGAAACCATCAAGTACTTCATTAACAATAGGGACAATGGCTTGATCATATATTGTTCTTTGTTGTGCCTTGGGGCCAAAAACCTTGAAAAAAATTAATTAATTAATTAAATAAATAAAAACGTGAACTTCAACAAATCTATGCAAAGAAAAATGGCAGGTATTTTCATAACAGTAGGGCTGGAGCCTTACCTTGTCAAAAGTGAAAACCCTGTCTACTTGCTTGTTAGCTACATTCTGCAAAACAGTAACTTCCCTTTTATGTTCGTTACATGAAATCACTCTCGGAACATTCATCCTCTGCTCATCTTCACTCAATGGCCTAAAACCATAATCATCAAGCAACAAAATATATATACTGAGTTAAATCAAATATAACAATTTTTCATTCAATTAATAAAATAAATAAGTAAAAATGAAAATACCTGCATCTAAGCAGCACTTGAACATTAACCTCTTTATCTCTATCGTGGCGGTTAGAGCTCCAGTCGGGTCCTCTCGAATCGGCACGGCGTCGTTCCGGCCGGGGAGTGAGGAACGGAGACGGAGATGGCGTTACTCCTCCCATCCCTACTTTTCTGAATTGGTCTGGAGTGAGTGACATCATTTTCTTTTTGCTTTTTCTCGTTATCTTACCGGAGTTGTTGCTTGAGAGGATGTTCTGTTCTTTTAATGGAATCTTTAGAGAAGAAGAATCTGAAGGATGAGTGAGATTCAGAGCTTTTTCGATAGCGCTTTCTTTCCTTTCTTTTTGCTTCTCTTTGTAGGAGTGTAAAAATTAGGGGTTTCTTTTTCTTTTTTTTTTACTATTTGGCAGCGTGTTTTCAAACTGGGGAAGAAACTTTTTGCTTTCTAACGGCTACATTGGGGGAATATGTAGCCGTTGGGACACGTGGCTGCTTTGTTTTCAAAAATTGTGGGCCCTCAGCATAATTATTCAGATGAGACGCTTTGATCAGGTACGCCATTTGATTGATTAATTTTTGATATAATGTTAAAAACAATTTTAAATTATTTTAAAATTTAAGACTTTTGTATTTGAGATCAAAAAATAAATCATAATTAATTAACTGTTATTAATAATTTTTTTTTTCATTTTTATGCTCACATGTAATATTGATATAGTGAATGAAAAACAACATGCAATCATATTACCATTAACATTATCATTCATTATAACATATTAATAATAAATAATTAATAATTAATTATAAATATTTATTTAATTTAAAATAAAAATATAAAACTTTTATTAAACATAATAAAAAATAAAAAATTACTTAAAATTTTCAAATAGTTCAATTTTTTAAAAAAATTATTAAAACTTAAAAGACACCAAAAAGAAATGAAAAAGAAAGGAGCATGGATAATCTGTTTCTTTTTAATTTATTCGCTTAAGTACCGATATAGGATTACTTAATCAGTTCAACCAGGTTCAATCAAATCAAAGTTTATGATAACTTAGAATACTTAGCTTAATCAAATCAACATTTATAATTACTTACTAGTACAAAACCTAGCAAAGTAATCATTATTTGACCCAAAAATTGTTAATCATGGGTATCGATCAGATCCCGATCCATGGGTAATTTCATAGTAAAGAGCAAAAGCTAGAACTTTGAATCAAATGTAGGCTGCAGGAAATGACATTACCACGATGGCTGTCGTTCAAAACAAAAAGGCCAGAACCATGATATGAGCAAACACGTGATACCATTTCTCTTATATTTCTACAAAATTCAAGCAAAAATAAACAATGAGCTCTCTTCTATTATGACTCATCACAGTGGCACTGATCCGTAAAACACTACTTCAGCTGGGCCTGTCATGTACACATGATTGTCTTCCTCCCTCCATTCAATCTCCAACGGGCCTCCAGGCAAATCGACCGTGCAACTCTGTTTTGCAACAAGAATAGTCAGTTGTGAGGAGCACAAACCAAAATCTTTTGCCTCAAGTCAGCATCTTAACAACACTCCTAAGAAAGTGAAAATCATCTACTTGCAGAAATTATGCTTCAAAAATGCAGAAATGGATTGGGATATGAATTAAGAAACCTAGGTCAACTACTTCAAGATGAAAATATCTCAATGCCCCATCTCGCACGCATATGCTCATTGACTTATTTCATTAACGCAATTTAAACATCATGTCCTACACTTACCCTCCCAGCACGTCCTTCTAGAACAGCTGCAACCACCACAGCACAAGCTCCAGTTCCACAAGCCAGTGTTGCTCCTATGAAATGCAATTGACTTGAGCTTTTAGCCAGAACAAAAACTGACCCGTGACAATTAAAGATTTTATCTAGGCAGGTGGTAAGTATAACTAACCTGCTCCACGCTCCCAAACACGCATTTTCAAGTGTGAACGGGAGAAAACTTCCACAAATTCTGCAAATGATATAAAACACATTCATAATTAGACTGTGGATTTACTTATCAAACGAGATAAATGACAACTATGCAATAGAAAAACCAATTCTTCATGTACCAAAATATGAAGCTGCTAATAGATGTTAGCAACGGAATTGATTTCAAAAGATCATCTCAGAGAGTAGATAAAAAACTAACCTGTGTTAGTCCTAGCTGGGAACATTTCATGATGCTCAAATTTAGGACCAACTGCTGCTAAATTTAGTTCATCGACTGTCAAGTTCTGCTCAATCACAATCATTAAGCAAAAAATAAATTATCAGGAAATGCAAATGAAAAAAGAAAGGAAAATTGAAAAAAATATCTTTCTCTCTTGAAGGATGTAGTGGCTAAAAAGTTATGATCCTCTAACACATGCACATTATTGGTCTGCCAAGAAAATTTTGGTAGAGTGATAGATGTCTTCTCTTCTAGCATAAGCTATACCTAACTTCAAAGAGTAGGCTTGATACACAGTAAGGAAAGAGCATAATGTTCAAATATTGCAGAGGAAGTGTAACTAGGAATAGTTCATATAAATATAAACTCCAGGTTAATCATCTTATCAGTCATCATCTGGATTACAAACCTGGCTTCCCTTGGTGCCAAAAGTTACACAGTGGGGATTCCCCATACTAACACAAGTCACATTCCAAATCACTCCATCTACATTAAGATCTGATTTAACAACAGATTGATCTTTATTTGCTGGTAATTTTGTAGGAACATCTGACGCTTTAAGAATTGGTTCGCCCATATCAACTTTAACCTGAAATTATGCCGCTCAATGTCAGATGCATTAAGCACCATAGATAAACTGTAACATACAGGTTTCCAAAAAATATACCTTCCCATCATCTTGAATTTCTGGAACAATTAACCCAGCACCAGTATACACAGTAAAACTGCATAAAATTTAGAACAGAGAATGAAACTACAAAAAGACATTTCTGGTAGTAAACTCATACGGAAAATACATTGTTATAAGCTGCCTTTTAACAATTCAGTTACCATTAGAAGCAAAGGGAATAAAATATATGAGTGTGGTATCTTCAAACAATCAGCATCCTAGCATGAACTCTCAGGAAAATAGAAAACAAATCATTGACAATACCTTTGCTTCCCGTGCAAATTCTCGAGCTCAGCAATGAATCTGGCAAAGCACCGCACCCCATTACCACACATCTAGAAGAACAAGTATCGATTAAAAACTTAACCAAAGTTTTAATCCTTCACACACACTTACAGCGAGAAACCACTCCGTATTCAATGTCAGTAATAACAATCATTTTCAGCAAAAGAAAGCAAAGCATCCAAGTGATAAACTAACGCTCCATTGGTTATTACTTTCAATGCTTTCTTTTAGCTTCCAAAAGTAAAGGCAGAAAAGCAAATAACACTTTTACTAATAAAAAGAAAGCAGATTACCTCAGGCTCGCTACCATCAGAATTAAAGATTCTCATAGTATAATCAGTGAAGTTGGTTCCCGGCATCGCAAAAATCACTCCATCAGCTCCGACACCAAAGTTCCTATCGCACAACTTCACCGCTTGCTCCGGCGTAATCCTCGGCTCCGTCGAATCTCGATTATCAACCTTTACCAACAAACAACAAAATCAGCTAAGGCAATTCCTCCTACGTTTTCTCAGCTAAGAGAGATAAATTAGACATATTACCAAAATGAAGTCGTTCCCGAGGCCGTGGTACTTGACGAAGTGAACGAATCCACTTTCTCTTCGGTCAAGAAACGACGTCGTGGAGATTTTCTCGGGGGTTCCGATGCTCATGGAAGATGCGGAGACTCGAAAGCTAGGGTTTTTAAGAGAGAGGTTGGAACGGAGACAATCGAAATGAAGAGTAGGAGCTGATCGAAAAGGAGCGGCGCCGGCTGAGGAGAAACGGCGGGTTTGGAGCGGGAGAGAGAGGGAAATGGTGGCGGCGATGGCCATCAGGTTTCGGCTTCTTTCTTGACTTTTTGGCGGCGGGTTTTTGGGTGTTGGTGTGCCGTTGAGTCCCAGCTGGTCAAAGGGAGCTGCAATTTGTCTCTGTTATGTAATAAAAGAGAAGCGCTGGAATCTTGCGCGGCCCGTGAACCGTGGAACCTGTATGGAAATGAACGAATCAGAATTTTGTGATCATGAGGGTATCACTGAAATAAAGATAAACTTCACTTGCACATCTTATAATTTTATCATTCTTCACATTACTCAACCTGATTTTTTTAATTAAAAAAAAAATCACGGGAAGAAATATAAGAACAATTTTTCCGTAATTAATCGGGCTGTGGAGCCCGAGCTTGAAATTTAAGGCCCGTTAGAAGACGGGCTGTCCTATTGTGGACACCTTGTGTTTGGGCCTTTGGGTTTTGAGATTAAGGGCTTAAGCCTATTTTAAAAAATATTTTACTTCAATCATTTCTGATTAATTTGTACATTCCCTTCTCTTAATTACTATTAATTTACTAGCTTTTTTCACCTTTTTCCATTTTTTTTACTAATCACAGTATTAATGATGATATTCATTTAATATCGGTAATTCGATTGAGACATAATTTAACATTTTTTTCTCTTTTATACAAAATGTAGATTATTTTAGGTGTAAAATTTGTAATTCTAAAATTAGGAGTGAGCAAAATTGAACCAGACTAATGACTCAATCGAACTAAATGCGATTTGAGTAAAATAGTTCAGTCCAATTTATTTATTGAGTCTATTGATCCAAAAAGTTTAATCTAGTTGATTTATTTGATAATTTAAAATTTTTAGATCGAACTAATCAAAAAACCAAACTTATATATATTATTTTAAAATTTATATAAAATACATATTTTAATTACTAATTTTCATTCCATATTTTATAATAATGGATGAAGTTTATAAATTTTAATATTGTAATTTATAAAAAAATAAAATTTTGATCTAAAACTGAACCAATTCAATATTTGATCAATTCAATCCTCTTTTATGTTTGGTCCCTTCTCGTCGATTTTTTTAAAAATATTTAATTTATTTGATCTTTAAATATAATGGATCAAATCGATCGAACCGCTCAATTGCTTACTCTTATATAAAATTATTTCATCGAGAAGGAAAACGAAAGGATTGATTTTAGTCACTCATGTGGCCTGCCAAGTGCCACCACAAAGCTCTTTCAGTACCAATGCTTTTAACCTTCACCACAATCATACATTAGCTCCAAAATTAAAAGCATTTTGACAAGTAACAAGAGAACTTTGAAATTGACTTAAAAGAATTTTCATTACGGGGAGAATTTTCAAAGAAATTGAATAAGATGTTACATGATAACTAAAATTTTCTTCGATTAACACTTTTATTATTTGTTCTGGAAGTTTGCATTTAACACAGAGCTTGAAAGATTATTC